CTAAAGAATTGGTTTTTATCTTCTAGTATTTAATTTATTTTATTATAGGATCATAATTTATATATATATAATTTATAGTATATTAATTTTCACATTTTTTTATTTTCTTTCATATTTCTTTACACAATTATTTTGTAATAATTTAATTATATATGTAAATTATATATGTAAATTACATATGATAATTTAAATAATACATATAATTTAATAATTTAATAATTTAAATATAATTTAAATAATTAAGTATACTATTGATAATTGGATCATTTTATATAATTGATAGCTTTTTGAAACTATTTTATTTGTATTTTTTTCTTTCGTATTTTTTTCATAATGCAATTTTAAATATAAAATAGGGCGTAAACTGTCATCTAACTGTCAATAAGACAAAGATATTATATGTAAAACTTAATCTAATTATTTTTACGCTTGCGCTATTATTTGTGTCTTATGGAACAGCAAAAAGGAAACTCACAAAACTTATTAATTTAAACTATTATTAATTCCTTCAATATGGGGCCACATCTAAATTCTAGCATCATTGCCTATCATATACTAGCTATGTTTTGGCTTTGGTTTGACTAATTTTTCAGACGCTTATTCTTAATTACCTTACGAAAAAATTAATTATACTAACATAGAAAACAATATTATGAAAATTATCACTTGATAAAAACGCTTTCTATTGTTTGTATTTGTTTTTAAAATTTCATATTTAGCGTTTATTTGAGAAATATAGTCTATAAACAAAATGGTGTGACGGCGACTTTCCTCTACTTTACATCAAGTTCTTATCATTTGAGTATATTTGATCGCTCGGGTATAATTGACAGCTTGGAACGAATTGGTAATTATATTACCCGTTAGAGTTAATATTTTGACGAATTAATTCTCCTCTCGTGAAACTCAGAAACCGAAATTGTCAATGAATCACAAACGGCTGAGCATAATACGTTGTACAGCATAAAATTGATAAAATAATGAAAATAAAATGTATGGAATTGAAAAATGAAATTATGTATGGAAAACATAATGAGATAAAAATCAAAATTATATATCTCACTTGTTACACATTATATTTTGCTTACCGTTTGAGCAAATTAGTCAAAATTTCCGCAGTGGTCATAGCGCAATGGTGAATAAATCGAATAGACGAGAAGGATGATGATTCTTGCACAGCACCACGTATGTGTACGGACAGTAACATTTTACAAGTTTGCTCGTCGTGCAGATACCTATAAATATTGCTTCCAGCTTGTACGTTCTTCTGCTTATCGCGGTTTATCTCCGCGGTTTATCCTCTCAATAAATTATCAGAGTGACTGATAAATGATAAACGTGCACAATCGGGAAGGGTGAGAGAGAGAGAAGATGGAGACGATCCGTTGAATATTTATTCGCCCATTCGGGATGTTCCGCGGCAAAAAACGTTAAATTCATTCGCCCTCGAAACCGCGTGAAAAGTGCAGAGCGATGTAATCGCGTTAATTTTACAGAGACTGAACTATGCCGAAGAGGGCAAGCTGCGCGGCAGCAGGATTTTATACCCGAAGAAATTCCTAGAAATTTCTCGGCGATTCGACGCGCTTGCCTATTTATTTTTATCGCTTCTTTCTCTGCAAGATTAATATTATGCTGGCCGAAACGCTTTGGATATTGGATTGAGAAATGAGTTCTCTATTTACGGAAATGCAAGGACCAAGTTTTCGAAGAAAACGTGGCTCATAAAGCACAACACTGTGCTTGAAATTTAAAATTAACGAATGACAGATTGCTGCAGAAGAATGATAGAATTCTGAGAAATCCAGGCACAAATCTAAGAATTTTATTTAAAAGTTTTCCGAATTGTACTTTAATTGTCTTCTCAGACATCGTTAGTCGTCGACTCTCGAATTTCCATGAGAGAAAAATCGATCCTCGGGGAAGCAACTGCTTTTTGCGTCTCTCTTTCTCTCTCTTTCTCTCTCTCTCTCTCTCTCGTGTCTGAAAAAAAAATTCTCTGGAGCATCTCGAACAGAATCGTGATACATAGGCATGATTCCGCCCACGAAAACCGGGGAAACCCCGCGCTGTCTCGACTGCTTTCAGCCTCGAGGAGCTTCACGCTCGAACGCGCGCGCGCGCGAGAGATGTGAGATGAAGAGCTCCACGTTGGTAAATGTATACACGACACCAGCAGTTCGCCTCGAACAATCCTCACAGGATGTAGATCGGTCCTTCCGCCCCCTCTCCCCCCTTCTCTTCCCGTGCGCATCGTTATCCTTTCATGTTCTACCACATAGAACCGACGTCGTTTCATCGCGAGGGTAAAATCAATGCCCCGTGTCAGAGCGTTCATGCTGTTCACGGATAACAACTCTTTCCTTGTACGACAAGGTCCGCTACGTGAATCTGAATCTGACAGATCTCTCGTGTTCGTGAGCCAGCAAGGTTCAAAGACTCGAGTATCGAAGAAGAAGTCATCTACCCTAAGAAGTAATCGACAAAAGTCCTCTGCGAGGAATTCCAAAATGCCGCAAAGAGATAGAAAGATCTCTTAAAATTAATTTTACAAAATTAACAAAAACTATACAGTAGGTAATTTTTCAAAGATTATATTATTTAAAAAATTGTGAAAATTCTTTCACAATTTTAAGAAGGGAAAGGAAGATAAATGAAGAACATTAATTTCAGCGAAATGTGACATCTTTCCTTTGTTTCTCCAGAACATCTAGACATCTAGTCAATATATGTAAACTGAAAACGAGCAACCTTGTCTTATCAATGGATTGCTACGTTCGCTATTAGTCGCTTCATTTAGGACAGTAGGTCAAATTGATTCACGTTTCACATTGTTGGGTTAATGATTCGAGGTGCTCGTCGCCGGGCTTTTCAGTATTATATAACTATGGTCTATCGGGGCTGGTCGGATTGTTGGTCGATAGACCACTTTCAATTTACCATTGAGTGGCACAGTGATATTGAGTATCACGCGTTTTTTGCGACACTATCGAAGAGCATATTGGTCGATGGGGGGGAGAGGGAGGGGGGTTCCCTTCGTCGGGAAGCTCGATTTTATAAAATTCGTCTCGCGTTCGTTCACAATGATTTCAAAACTTATGGGAACACGCGGAATTCGAAGATAGCTCCATGCTCCGAAAAAGAGAACATTCCTCTGCGCCGATAATTTTCATCTGCACCGCAGAGAATAATTTCGAGTGCAAACGGAAATCCACCAATGTAGAAAATTAAAAGACAAAGATTAAAAGAGACAAGGTCACATATCGTTGTTTATTTAGATATCTATGCGAGAAAGGAAACGAAGAAAGAAAAATGTTGTTTTATTTTTAATTTGTTGATTTATCTTTATTGTAAAATTTTTTTTTTTTTTAATTTAAATTCTGGAACTTTTAAAAAATTTTTTACACGTTAAAAATTGAAAAATTCCACAGCATTGAGTTGCACAACGTAAACCTTTATAATTTTTTTGATATTAACATTTAATTATAAACTTTATCGTCTTAGGGGTATTTCTATTTCTATTTCTATTGATGTGCAATTAGTCAATACAAAAGGACTTGCATCATTAAGCAAGATA